CAGACAGAATTTAAAGGCGGTTTTCTTAACTGCAGGGTGCCAGGTTTTGTACATGTGCCATGCTGGTGCTGTTAGAGGGAAGTGTGTTCTGCAAAGCAGACTGTGTACAGAACCTGTATATTGCAATGTCTTTGTTAATAGACATCATGGCGATTTATTGTGCCTGATCCTGCAAGCTGCTTAGCATTTCCTGCTGTATACTTATTTCTACCTGTTTTCCTAAAAACTGGTGGACTCGCACTGCTCTCCAGGATCAGAATCATTATCGGTCTGAGGCAGGAAAATCTCAGTATACTGCTCAAACCCAGTTTCATGTGAACAAAAACCTGGGTGAAATTTAAATGCCACTCAACTTCCAAGAGTTAGAAAATTAAATAAAAATAAATTTTATTTAGATTAACAAAACTCATTGTACTTTGTAAATATCCCAAATATCCCCCCCATTTTAGCAGTTCCTGGGGGACTTTGTTGCCTTTTGCAGACTAAAATACAAGAATGTTTTAGCTTTTGTATGCAGGTTTTGCACTTGGGGTGGAAGCACAGGAAATGGGTTGAGGGATGGGGATGCTACACCATATTGGGTGCAAATTGTGTAGCTGCAGCATAACTTCTTCTAGGCTGTAACTGCGATTCATGATACAGAATAATGCAACCTATATAAAGAGTCTGCATTGCAAAAGCTAAATCTGGAGTCAGCAGCCCTCCTGTTCAGTCCTGGCCAAACAACCATGTTAACTTCAGACTGCTCAGGTTCAGCAAACCATATGGTAATCCTCTCATTTCCACTTTAAGACAGTTTCAAAGACCTATTTCAAAGGACAAGGTTTTACACATTTCTTAACATATGAAAAAGGATAGAAAATTGATTGTCTGGGGTAAATAGGGATTAAAAGCTGTGTAGACCTGCCCAGAAGATGCAGCACATGCTGTTTAATAGCAAATTTCTGTGTGCTGTAATTTGCTGACGCAAGTGGAAATTTAGGAAATAGGGTCCAAGTCAGAAGCTGCTCAGCTCCATAATTTGTGGATTTCAATAAGCTCTTTTCACTGTCAGTATTTGTGTAATACTTTCTTGCAGCATGTATCTTGCTCCTTACCCAGCTCACTGAAGACACTATAGAGTTTCTGAAGATTACAGAATATAAACCCACAAAGTACCTGTATCACTGCTATGCTGGATAGTTTTTAAGGCAAATAATTCAGAAGTACTCTGATATTTGTGTGTTAAAGGTCTTGATTATGCAACTTGTTTCTTCTTGATATTCTCTCACAAGAAAAGGACTTTTAACGGACTTCTTCAGGAATAGTTTCTGAAGGCGGAATACTTTTTTGTTGCAGAAGTATTTTAAATTTTGAAGGATAGGTAATATGTTTTAAATGTCACATTGGTGATGCTTGAATTTATAAAAAAAAAAAAAAAATGGATGAAAAGAGTATGTTGGAGGTTTTAGTGCAGTAGTTTCTGACACATGAGTGTTGAATAGTTACTTTATTATTGTATTGTGCATCTTTCATGTTCACTGATTTTGAATTAATATGCCAGATGGGTCATATTTGCAAGATCTTCCATTTTAAGTGACTTAAACTGTAATCTAACATCCTAATGCTATTGATCTCCATTGGAAAACGTTATTACTGCCCATCCTGTGTTGTTGTAATCAATATTTTTTTCCTCTTTAAAGGGATGGGCACATTATTAAATATGTCATCTCTTTTGGTTTGGTTTATAATATTGCCCCCTAAAGTGGCTTTGTTGGCCAACAGGCAATAATCTTGCATCTTCATCTGTAAAGGGCACAGTTTATATGCAACTTTTTAAACGTCCATCAGCTTAGTGTCTCAAGAGGGCAAAAATCTGTTTTGTTGCAGATGTGCCTGATTTGAATGAAACATGGTTTCCTGTGGTTTCACCGTGGTAGTGCTATTCTGCAGTGCAAAGAGGGAGTTTGAATCCATGTATCAAACTAAATCCAGAATTGGCTCTGAGTGGTTGAGAAGAACTTTTCCAAACCCTATTCAGCATTGAACCCAACCAGCATGGACACAGAATTCAAGTCATGCAAAATATCAGCTTAGCTTTTGGTCACGCTGCTAGGCAGATTATTCAGTTTAATATTTTTCCCCCCTGCACTGGGAGCAAATGTGGATTTTGGAAAACAAGATTTCATATATTGGCAATGAACAGTACCTGTGTCCCTAAGTCGCTTGTACTTCACAAAGGTCTAAGGCTATTTCCAACTACTTCTGGAAGGGAAAACAAAATTTTTGGGAGGAGAGAAATACCTACATTTCTGTAAAAGTCAAATGAAGGTACTCCTCACTTAACGTCGTCCTGATTTAACGTTTTCGTTATTACATCGCTGATCTATTAGAGAACATACCCATTTAAAGTCATGCAGTGTTTGGTTATTTGGCTGCCGCCTGCTAGTAGGTAACTACTGTGATGTATTTGGATTTGTTTAACATTGTTTTGCTTAAAGTTGCATTTTTCAAAAATGTAACTACGATGTTAAGCAAGGAGTAGCTGTAGCAAGAAAAAGATTTTTGTGCTGGCCTCATCTACAGACATAATTAAGATCACTTAAAAAAAAATCCTTTGGTTGCTGTTTCTGAGATATTGCTTACTCATCATTTTTAGCTGTAAAAAAAACTAAAATGAACCCAACTTCCCCTTCCCTTTTTTGTTTTTTCCATTACCACTTAATGAGGCTGACTTCTCAGAGGCGTACCTCCTCTTAGATATCAAAGGACTGGGGAGAAAAAAGAAACTAGTCGAATTTTATTTGTCCCATGACAAATGTATTGCATGAAAGTTACCAACAAGTTTTGTGTTGCAACAGAAGCATGCTGTGTGGCACAGATGATTCCACACAGGGAGGGTGATTTATGATACTGAATAGCTTCCTCAAGGTGTATAAAAGGCTGTAGATGCTGAAGACTCTTGAATGATGGAGATGTACTCTTTTTGAGTCCTTTGCAGCAGTGAGTCGCTAAGACTACGTGAGTGATGTCAACAGCACACAAGCTTTAAGTCTGACTGGAACCTTGGGTTGGCTAGTAACTTTTTCTTTTACTATCTTGGGGCAAAATGTGGCTTGGGAATCCATGGAAAGTTAAGTTCAGGGCAAATACTGTTGGCTGTGTGGTCAATATATAAAATGTGGAAGTGCAATTGTACGCAATACGAGAAATTTGATTGTAACGTTGCTAATATTAAGTAATGTTTAATTTGATGGTAAAGAGATCTGTATACTTGACAAGGTCCCTCATTTTAAATCATGATGCTAAACCATGTAGTGTTCTTATGAGGATATGCCTTCCTGTATTCTGCTTTTTCTCAATACCTTGTGATATCTTGATATTGTATTCACTTGTATGAAACAGATCTGTAATGTCATAAGCTGCATTAAGACTTGGTCCTGCAAACACTGCTGGGAGGTGGAAGGGAGGGCCAACCTATGTGGATGAAGCTATTGGTGCCAATGACTGCACCCTTAGCAATGAATTAAACTGGCATGCGGATCTGAGAAGCTCTCCAAACTGGGGGCTTAACAGAAACATACCATCTTTATCTCTTTTTTTCTTCTCTTTTTTTTTGGTAGATGATCTTTCTTTTGGATTTCATATAAATTCTGCTTGCCTATCAAGATTTGAAATCCATTTTAAGAGCAAAATATTAAAATCAACTAAACATAACCATGTGGCAGATCTAACCTCATAGATTGCTGTTAACTGGTTCTTAAAAATATTCTTATCCTGTCTTTAATTACTTTAAAAAAGTGAGCATATCTTAATGACTATTTTGCATCTGTTAAAATTAAACCACTGGGAAACTAATTTATTATTAAAGTTTGCCAGTGAGAAATTTAGGGTGGGGGACTGGTTTTGAAAGCAAAAGTATATGGTGTATATGCCACAAAACAGTTCTCTTCCCCTCTAGCATTAGCTCCAGTGCAGTACAACAATAATTGAGCAGTAAAGATTGTTTACAAAACCTCCCTCCCTCCAGAATGATCAAATCTTGTGGAAACATTTTATAAAAAGTCAAGCATCTGGTAACAATGTATCCAACATGCCAAACTTCAAACAGTTGAAAAGGATCACGATTTTCTGCAAATGTTAGAAGCTGGTAAGGCACTGATCACTTTGAATAAATTACAGTGCAGGCTTTTTCTGGTTATCTAATTTTATCTATTATTTTTTATAATTAAAGAACGTTGAGTGACTTGGCAGTGCTCCATAGAAAAAACTGGTGTCCTTGAATAGTTAATATGATGCCATGTAAATTTATTTTGTTTCTGATATTTTGTTGTCTCTGAACAAATCTAATTAAACATAATATAATTTCTTATTAGGCTCCACTGCCATATTATTTATATTGATACTGAAGGGATAAGGACTGTGCCCTTGTCTTGGTGTGTACTATTCTGAAACATTTAACATTTGTTTTCCCATGGGCAGAGAAGGCCAAGGATACTTTAATTAGCTCTTTCAAATTGTTGATAAATATTTTTACACATTTTCTGAGGAGCATGCTTTCTCTCCCACTATGTGTTTGAGTTAGCCTTGAAAAAGCTGTGATCTGGTCTCACTGAAAACTATTTCCTATAGTGGTTTATCAAGTCAGTGTCTGAAGTTGGCCAAATGAGGTATCTGATTAAAACAAAAAAGTCAATGCATATTTGAAAACAGTTTTCTGGCAACACATGCAGTGGGCAATTTGCAGCTGGTAAGATTTTGCATTATGTAACAGCCTAAAGTTAACACTAGCATCAGGTCT